CCCTACGTCGCCACTCTCACTTTATGGCTATTAATCTTCTGTGTTGAACCTGTGTATCTTTGATCAATCCCACAGTCTTTTCCACATAATGAAGCTCTCTTCGGAAAAAATAAGCCACATTCATAAAAACCAAGAAAAGCGCTAGTTACCGTTAGTAGGAGCAAGTCAAGTCTGCTATAAGTACGAATAATATTTTTGCTCCATTAATTCATACTTTACAACACCTTCCTCTCAATACTTTGGTGTGCCACATAAAATAACCCCTTTAACGATGTTTGAAAATTGTCAAAAGGGAGAATAAAGGTCTTTCATACCAACTTGACAATAATAATAATAATATGTTGTTGTTGTTGGAAGTTCTCTGTACTGCTCCTTGTTTAACTTAATGCGGCCCTGCTGTGATTCAGAGTTGTGAGGAGACAATCTGAAGACCCTTGAAACAGATTTCTGCCTTTCCACTTGGCTGGAAATGCTCACAGCATGGCTAAATGTGGTCGCAAAACGTGATGGCAGAACTATGCCAACACTCCCAGTGCTCCCAGCACTCCCAGCAGCCTGACGCCAGTTGGCGACTTTGCCCCGTTCTGCGCGCCAGGAATCAAAAATACCCATATAAATTATCCATTTCCAAATCAGCCTCGTCCTTCGGCCAATCTTTGGCTTAATGAATTCAATGTGACTGCGCAGTTTGAAGTGGGGGGGGGGGGGTGCTTACGGGGTTGGAGACTGTCTGACGGGATGAGGCCTGTACGGTCAAGGCAGTCTGGCAGCTTGGCAGGGACATTTTCGATCAAATAAAAGCTGTTATGTTACACCTTTTAATGGGTGCGTAGCTCCCTTAAAGTAGAAAAGGTGCGAGCCCACCACCACAAACCTGTCGGTATCCCCTGAACTGTATTTCCATAATATTCACACCATCTCAGACACAGTCTTCCCCATTTTGATGATTAACGTCACACCATATATAAATTAGTTGACACTGTGAAACATGATGATTTTTCTTGGGGTACACATGGATCCCATTTTAAGAAACACACCCATTTGCTAATAAACATGGGTTATTAGACACTGTTGATACTTAGTGATTAATTAATTAATAGTAAAGTAAAAAGGGGTCATCTAGATGAACAGCCCAGACCTCCTGAAGCCCAGTAAGAAAGAAAGAAAGTCACTTTCGGCTTTTCCCCGTTTAGGGGTCGCCACAGCGAATCGTCACACTGACGACTGGCATGTTGACATTTGGCACGTGTTTTACGACAGATGCCCTTTCTGAGCAACTCTGATTCGAACCCGGGCCTTAACCACTAGCCTACCAGGGACGGCACCTCCTGAAGCGCAGTAAATGCTCCTTTACCTGGATGACCCTCATGTTGAGGCCGGTCTCCTGGGCCAGCTGTTCCCTGATGTGTCTGGTGGGTTTAGGGGTGGCAGCGAACGCGGCCTTTAGTGTCTCCAGCTGCTTGGCCTTGATGGTGGTGCGCGGGCCACGCCGCTTCCCTCCGAGGTTCTGGTCGTCGTTCTCGTTATTGACTGTTTCCTTGTCGGACAGGGCGGCTATCTCTGTATCCTTTAGGACTACGTCGTCCTGTAGCTGGTCTTGGGAGTCCGGTGATAAGCTCGGGTCGCTGCATGCCGTTACTATAGAAATGGCACACCAGAACACCCAGAGTCATTTTTTTGCGTAGATAATTTTTGCAGTGCAATCAGTCTTATTCTTCCGTGGCTTTTCTCAGTTGTAGTGGCCAAAAGTGGTTGAACTATGAGCTGAGGTCGATGATGCAAACTACCACCACCAATAATAAAAACATAGTACAAGGTTAATTTAGGTTTTGAACTTTAAACCCGTATTTATTAACATGTGAGCATTTGTTTTACTAACAAAAAACAGCTGCTTTATGTGTTTACCTCCTCTACGGTGTTGATAAGTGACTTGAATATTTAGTAAACAATAAAAAAAAATCTTAAAAATATACAAATCCTGAAAAATACTGAAATAGGCCTACGGCATATTTAGGCTACATTACATGCCCTGTTAAAGATCAGCGTCTGAACTGGGGTAAGACAAAATAAACGAGTTAAACTGAAACTATTACCCATTTTGCAAGAGAATGATCATTGCTGAGCCCTACTCGCTGCATGCGGTCTAAGCCCTGGTCATGGAAATGATGAAGCCACAGCGGGGCCGAACACATCACATTCATCACAATTTATCCTGAATGCTGCTGTCTCTCTCTCTCTCTCTCTCTCTCTCTCTCTCACACACACACACACACACACACACACACATACACTGGCAGGGTTCCTCAGTACCTGAGAGGAGATTGGTGTCTTTTACACTGGTGTTGTTTAAGTAATCGTCTTTGCAGACGAATTTATTCTCGTCTATGATGTAGAGCTCCTCGCCGGTGGACAGCTGCTTATTGCACATCATGCAAGTAAAGCAGTTGAGGTGAAATACTTTGCTCCGGGCCCTTCGGACCAAGTCGTTTGGAGAGATGCCCTGCGAACAGCCGCCACACTTCGTGCCGAACCGCCTGCAGGAGGAAAAATAGCTCGGAATATTATTGTTATCAAAAAAGATTTTGGATTGCTTAGATACTGTTCAGCGTCCGAGCAGGGCTGGTGATAAGGTGACACTGGGAACGGAATGAGCGGTCTGTATTATTTTAAAATGCTGTTGACTTGACTAAATATAATTTGACATCACATTTTTGTACAAAAAAAACTTAAACATGTATAATGAAATCTGCCCATAAAGTCGCACCTAATTGTCATTTCATTTTAATTCCATGATGATTCTAAAGTCAAATAGGGATTTCTATCATAAACGGTAAACGAACAGTAAAATGAAAAACGAAGCTTTTGTAGAATACCTTGAGATAGTGGACCAAAAAAAAAAAAGAAAAGAAAAAGCATCACTTCTTAAGGAGCTTTTTTGGAATCTGTGCTTTTTCCACAAATCCAGGATCAATCTTGATCTTCTAGATATTCAGTACTGGCATTTTGAATAATAACGACAAGCAAAATAATAATAATAATAATTTTGTTTGTATTATGTGTACGGCTAAAACCTATACATAAGCACATTTTTGAAAAACGATGCTGTATCTATTAAAAGAAAATGTAGTAATATGGCGCATAAGCTCAAGCTTATTTTTTCACATTATTAAACACGATAACTTGAATTCCATACTCCTAAAGCCACAGCTACAGTCAGATCCACTTAAGTGACACATTTTATTTTTATCTTTATATTTCCCATCTTTATGACATGTTTTCAGTGGTGACGGGTTCTTTTAATAGCCCAGCACGTTGGTTTTAGAATAATAAACAACAGCCCTGCCGTTGACTTTGCCGTTAAACAATGTGTACTGAGTGGTGTGCACTGCTTGTTGACTGCACGTCTGTGATTGTATTGTCTGTGGACTTTATCTTTTCAACTAGTTTACTATTCAAATCCATTTATCACGTCCTCCTCAGTCGCACTAAGCAAACACACCGGGCAGCGGCTGCTCCGGCCCGGGTTTGATCCTCTGCGCTCCCCCGGCTGCTCGCATGCTGTAAAAACAACACTCCAAGTGTGAGTTCCTCGATTTCCTAACAAACCGCCCACTCTCCCCGCTGAGAGCGAGCGCACACGCATTTAATGTTGCTGTCTCTCTTTTGTTGTTGTTTTACTTAAGAATTCAAATTAACAAGCTTTTAATTACTTTCTTTTAATCAAAGCGCATCGCCTGCAAGTCCTCATTCACGCCTACAGGCACGGATAGGTTTCTATTAATTTATGTAAAGAGAAACAAAATAAAGCAGGGAGTCTGCGTTCATTGTAAATTCGTGTAGTCATGTGGGCGCAGTCAACAGATGTGCCAACACTGTATTATTTCTTTCGGAGTTTGGTGTTTACCTTTACTGGCTTAAATATGAAAACGTTAAGAATGGCGTCTCTCTGCTGATGTATAATAAATACAATCTGGCTAAGTTAAAGTTGTAAATAATATTTTAGATACGGCTATTTTATCTGCAAAGACTAAGATGTTTTTCAGTAAAGTCTAAATATCTATGACGCACCACCACCATATTTGTTCCTATTTTATGCCACTGTTTAAATTTCTTTATATAATTTCCTAAAGGCCTATGTGCATTGTTTTCTACTGCTTCTACAGTTCGGCTCCTGACATTAAACCAGACACATTGTTACTAACACTGGTGATGAGTTACAGTGTCACCTTCCCCAGGCTTACCTAAAGAAGTCATTTTTGCAGTACAGTCTCCCCTCTCGAGAAAAACATTTCTCTGTCAAATTACATTTGCACTCGCAGCACTGAACGCACTTGACATGCCAGGCTCTGTCCAACACGTTAAGCAGAAAGCGGTCCAAGATAGGCCTCTCGCAGCCGGCGCAGTGGACCATGGCTTTGGCTGGGCTACAACCCCACAAACGAAGCACTCACACACACACACACACACACACACACACACACAAACACAATCAACAGCACAGGCCGAGCATTGGCCGAGTTTCTGCTCTCCCCCTCTCTGATTCGAGGTCCCGGGTCAGTGTGAGCAGAGAAGCCAGTCGATCAGGTGTCACCACAGATTTCTCCCGGCATGCGTAAAAAGGATCAGCGTCCAAAAAAACACACGGGAATGAATGGCGACCGCGTCCCCTCTTTCCGATAGACAAGCAAAAAGGTATAAATAAATAAAAATCTGTCCTTTATTGGATCCGGGGCAAAACACGCAATTCAGTCAAAATGTAGATTTCAGCACAGGAAGCTGCAGATTGGCTCAGACTAAAAGCCCGGAGCCAGCTTGGTTGTCCCGGCGCTCTTGGAAGTAACACATGAGCGTCGTTTGCCAGTCAGCACTGGAAGGGGCGTCTAATAAAATGCTTTGAAGGCAGAGCTGTCACACAACAAGACACGCACGCCTATAAATAATTCAGTGTACCTTCACATGGCAGCGTCTCCACTGTTTAAAACCCGGCGAGAAAAAAATCACACCAAAAGAGTGGTTCCCTCTGTTGCTCTGGATGATCCTGGATTTTGAGCTTCTGGTGGCGGGGGATGCTGGGATGCGCTGGCGGCTCCGGTGGTAGTCAGTGTGTATGCAGGGATGCCCTCAGTCTCCAGTACTTGGTGAATGCTGGGATGCGCTGGGTCTCCAGTACACTGTCTTGCTCCTAAAGCTCCAGCCCAGCCTTATTCCCAACCTCCTGACGTCAGGCCGCGGCCGGACCAATCAGCAACAAGCCATGCCAGCGACCATCAAGCCGCCCCATCATAACCCAGCGAGGGCTCTGCCTGCTATTTATGCCGCACACTCAAGACACCAATTGTCAAGAATTTCCCTGCCAACTGTCATATGTTAGTGAATGTGTTTTGAGGAAGCAGCCGCGGTGGAGGGCAAGCAGCGCGGAGTGAGAGACGCCATTTTTCAGCTGCTGAGCAAATTGTCTTCTGGGCATGAGGGGGACATGAAGGAGGAATCCGAACAGGTACATACTGTACTGTGGCGTCTTCAGGATAAAGAAGCTGGAGGCGCAGATTGCACTGCGTGCTCCCTGTTTATTCATGTTAAGTTACTTTGCGCCAGAAAATTACACACAAGTTGGGTATGTTTGTTTTGTGAAAATGTCTGGAGACTTTTGTTATCAATAAATCAACTGTATAAAAAAAACTAAAATTAACTGCTTCACACATATGGCTGAATGTTTCATTAGACTGCAGGAAACTGCAGAACTACTCTGCCAGGCTCGTGTTCAGATATTAACTGGGTTCAGAGAAACGGTGTTGCCGATCTCCGCCTTTCCCAGTGTCATGCACTATTAGGCTACTGTACTGTCAAGTGCATTTACCTAAACAATGTTTCCTTGCGCTTTAGCAATAGCGCACCTTGGCTGTTTTTCTTTGGTGTGATGAAGAGGAAGCGTGGAAGTGAAAGACTGAAAGGCTCTAAAGTTGACAGCTCCTGTAGCTTAGCCTGTCAGGAACTCGCGGCCCAGACACTTCGGACGATTCATTAGGGGAGGTCCAATCCACTTCAAGTCCACCTTAAGTAAATAACACCATGAGTCTAACAGCCTCCTGTGTTATTAGCCATTTCCCTTCATAAGATCAGACAAGTTTTGGGGGTTGATGATTTAAAGGCCCGTCTTTAACGCTTCTAGCATTTCTTTTTTTTCTCAATGACAATAGACTGTTTTATCTGAAGGAACATAATGTACATGCTTGCTGAACAAATTCGTTTCGTTCCATTATGTAACCAAAATTTGCATTTGCCAGGAAAACAGCTTGGAGTAATTAATTTCTGAAACGTTTGTTTACACGAACTGTGCTATTGTGGCTGTAAGACAACAGCTTATTACAATTTAAAAATGTATTTTTCATTGTTGTGAAAAATGAAAGAAACAGGATGGAAAGTAATTTTCCTCGTCTCAAAATAGAATCGGGTTCACTAGCTGATCTTTACGCACTTTAAAGCAGAATATGCGACTCGGGGACACCCATTTATTCTCTACCAATAGCCCGCCATCATCCTCTTGCATATGAGCTACTTCTCATGCAAAACACCCGTCCGTCCCCGTCCAGCTGCCCCTCGGCGTCTGGGGAGCGCCCCTTCAACAGGACGTGTTACCCGCTTGAAGGAAAAGAGATAAGGCTAAAACCCCACAGAATCCCTTTTGTTTTCGCTTCGCCACCTCCTTAGCCTGCTCTTCTCGGCTGCAGTCTTCTTCCCTTCTTCCTTTCTCTCGTTTTCTCTCATGTTCTTCTCTATGTGGACGGTGCGTCTGAGCGCATTCTGCTGTGCTGATAATGTTACCATCACAGAGACAAGGAGAGACGGGTCACTGAGCTCCATGAGAAACTAGTGGACCATAGTAGAAAGTCAATCAGCAATCAAAACATCCCGTTTGTTGGACTACAAAATTCGCATGTCTTCTCCCTGCCCTAAAACCTTCAGAAGTAGTCTACCTGAAAATAACCCCCTAACCCTACAGTCTGCAGGCCTCTCTGCACAAACTTGTAAATGCAGCATGTAAACAACAAAAGTTGTTGTTATTTCCATGTGTAGAAGATGCATTGATAGTCTGTCAGTAGGGATAATCTCTGCCTGATTTAGAATAAGTCAGAGAGAGAAAGAGCCAGGCTCACAGAGGCAGATTAATCCATGAATAGAAGGAAATCAAAATATAGGCTATAGGCTTAAAAATATCTCAACTCCCCTCCAGGCAAAAACACTATTAAATGCAAAAATGGTTTTAAACTTACCACTGTAATCCCTCACTAGCAATACATTTTATTCTCACTCATATTTTCATTCTGATGCAGGCAGAAGTTGTAAATTACAATTTGTGGTGTAACATTTGTGCTTAAGTTGGGAAAAATAGTTTTCCCACTTTTGTTCTGCTTTAATCTCGGAATGATTGAAGGCAGGAAGCCTTTCAGCAGGCCTGTTTAGAAAATGAAAATTCAAGTAATAACAGTGGCAGAAAATGAAAATCTAAATGCAGTTCATCTGAAATGTATCTTGCCTTTGTGCCCCCTCAGACTTCTATTTTATTCACATTTTATATTTTATGCATTTCTTTTACTTCATTTTTTTCATTTTGACCACTACATTCCATTCTACCATAGTTAAGAAAAGAGACATCCGCGTATCAGGGCTATAGTGTGGTAAAGCAGCCCAGGAGATTTGGGGTTTATGAAGTGCAGACAAGTGAACTAGTACACTGTGAGATAATTAATCTGAGATAATGAATGAGGCTGTGAAGATGCATGCAATCATTAATTCTAATCATGACACGTTTATTTGTCTCCCCTCTCTCCTCCAGGCTCAGTTTAGAGACACAATGTCACCACAACAGTGTGAGAGGGGCCCTGGCTGGAGAAATGAGAGGACTTTGGAAGAAAGATTAAATACTGAATCGAGCAGATGTTTAGATGGCTTGGGAAATGTGTTTAGAATATGAGAAAGAGATATTTACATCAGTTTCTTCCTCTATGTGTAGCTTCCTGGGGTGGCCAGGCTGCGAAAGCCGGAGCTACGACCTTACAGCCGGGCTGCTGGGGGGACAAACCGTGGCTCCGGTAATACAGAGAGAAATATCACCTCTGACTGGAGCTTTGATCAACTGAGTGCAGCGGGAAGGGGAGGGTGCCGGTCCGCTGCTCTGTTTGCTGTTTGCAGCCACAAACAGACAGTGGCATTCATAATTCATAATAAGGCGCACTGATCATTCTGGCTTATGAATGCGTTTATTTGGGGGATAACAAGCGCATTTCTGTGAAACTGGCTCACTTAATATCATTTGCATACTTTTCCATCTCCATTCCTACTTGGAAAACGTCACCACATGGAATAGGAGAAATTATTCCAAGTTACAAATGTGATAAATAGGCTATGTCTTTCGAAACGAATGAACCCCTGCAAAAAATATGTTTGCACACAATTTTACGCAGACTATAATGTGTCAAACAAATGGATGTAATGTAATGGAAGGCTACATGAAAAGACGATTTTTTAAATGAAAAACATACAAATGCGTTTCCCCCTGAAATAATATTTGACATTTTGACAGTAAGAAAAACCAGCATCCGAAATCTATTATTTAAAACTTACACAATAAGCGTAAAATGTAGTTTTCCTTACATGACAAGCCAACTAACAACGTTTTAACAGAGCATAAGCAGTGCGTTCCATTAACACTGATCACCTCAGCTCCTGTCGTGGCTGCGCAAACTGCATGAAAAGCGCGCACATTTTATAGTTAGCCATTTTATGGGTCAGTATGGAATGATGGTGGGAGTTTGTAAAAGAAGAGACGCTGGAGGAGTACGGTGGGTTATATTTGTCTTCCCTGCCCTGCCCTGTCCTGTCCCGTCTGTCAATCATTCTTCACCGCATTATCACGCACGCACAGGACCGAAATCCAAACCCCCCTCCTCCTTCTTTCCATCCACCCGCGCCTCCCTCCATCCATCCCAAGCGGGGTGCTCAAGCAGCAGAAAAGGCCCAACAGCTTAGACAGAGATTTGGGGAAATTTAGGGACATATGCTGATGTGAACTCGAAGTGGATTATTGAGCCATCGGCAACTCTACGCAAACATTTCCAGTCTTTCCAACTCTGAGCGTGCCCTGTGCTGAGAGAAATCCAATGGGGTTTATAGATCATCTCCCTACAGCTGTCCTTTCTCAGTAGTCCACCCCCGACTCCACACACGCGCGCGCGCGCGCACACACATACACATACACCCGGTATTCAGAGGTTGTCATGAGGTTGGCTGTGTGACTCACTGGGAGTTCAGAGCAGCAGCCCTGCATGAGACTCGGAGGTCACTGAAAACAAGGCCACTGTCACCACAGCAACTTCACCCAAGTCCCGCTCACTCCTCTAGGGGGCGAATTCAATCCGGGCAATGACAGAGCTTAGTCTTGATATCATTATTATTTCTCTTTTCTTATTACGTTGTTAATTTCAACCATGCGTTACTGGTGTCATGTCAAAATATAGCTTTAAACGGCAACTACATTTCCGATTAGCTTTATTCCAGTGATACTACGTATAATGGAGATTACCCATACATGTTTATTTTTGATTAATTGTTATTATATCAATAATAAGTTTTCTTTTTAAAATAAAATATTTTTTCTATTATCTGTTACATTTAACAAAGCCCGTTCCTGAACTGACATATCTTTAAATATCCTACTATATGTCTATAAACGAGCGGAAACAAGTACGTAAAAAGATAAATTAATAGTATTTTAAACCTTAGGCTGCACTATAATTTCCCCCCTGGAACTTATAAAATTATATTCATACAAATGCAAGAGATTTC